GTCACACTTCTTGCAAAGATTTGCTTTAAAAATATGCTGTATATATATGTGTATTTTTTATTTTATTTTAAATACACTGTGTTTCTCAAGTCTTCCTGTCTTGACAGGTTTGCTCTGACAAATGCAGCTGCAAAGTGCCGGTCCGTTACTTGATATCGAATTCCTTCATTTCTCTGCTGGAAGTTGGTTTCCATGTGCAGTTGTTGTTCTTGTTGTGTTTCTGGACCCGTGCAGGTAGAGATTTTTATACTGTGACGCTTCAGCCACTTACAGATGTTCTCCAGTTGCTGTTTTAATGGGTGTGAAAAACTTTAATTAAAAGTGAAATTCAATGAATTCTTCTTCTTATCTTGTTATTGGTTTGATGTTAATGAGTGCACTGACTTCAGGTGATATTTGAGCATGGAAGCAAGAATGGCTGAGGTTCTTGATCAATAAAACCTCAACTCTAGTTACAGTAGATGTAGTAAATATTCATACATTTGTACAGACCTTTTATTTGCAAGGTGCATGTGACTGGAAGAATGAAAGCATCCATACGGTCCTGTAAATAAGTAAATGCTCTGGCAGAAAGGCATGTGCCCAACTCTCCTGCTTTCTCAAAGTAATCCCAATTTTCCTCCTTAAAATCCCACATCCCTGAGTTCAAGCCTCCTTATTTGCTCAGTTCCTGCCCTGTTTGCCTCTTCTTAATGATTCAGAATGAGCAATATGTGAAGGCATAGGGTGTATATATAGAAAGAGACATTAAACCTCTTATCTCTGACGTGTTGTCTGTAATTGCAGCGTAAAAATACTGCACAATCTTTCCAGCTTCATTATCCTCAGGGGGGAGTCCGTCTTGGATTTGTTCATTTGGAGAGGAAGCACGTGGGAAACATTAGGAGACATGAGCTGTTACATGCGCCGGTAATAAGTGATGCTAATGTCACATTTGTGTTCCTCTGCATGCTTAGTGGTCGGTTGTTGTGATGAACCCAAAGTGAATGAGACAACAGACAAATCTACAGCTGCCCTCAGCTCTAGAAATAGTTTTTTGTCATTAATTAATTAATTTTTTTACATTTGGTGGGATGGTTTTAGAAGTTTCTGTTCACCCCAACTGGTGAAAGTTGGCAAAAGTGAAGCAAAGGTTGAATCTTATGTGATGAGCAAAGTGAGAACATATCATCAAAATTACCCTGAGAAACTGAAGGAAGAAGTCAGCGAATCTTCTGAGGACCAAGGCAACTTTCATGGTAATTAATGATGTAGAGCAGGAGTGCTCCAACCAC